AAACGAAAAAGCAACGAGGCTCCCATAAAGATACTGGTAGTGAACAGAGAAAAGGCATCCCTCGTTCCTTCATTAGGTAACTCGGTCTCTCTTCCCTTCTTCATTCCCCTCTAGGAGGTTCAGGAGTAATGATCACGTTACCACAATACAATCTAGGACTTCCCCTGGGAGGGCTGTTACATCTATCGTTTTTTTAGTTTAAAAATTGAATTCCTGAATCATCTAAACAAGTATAAATATGAAGCTCTCATCCATTAGGCATGTGTTGATAAGATAGAGTTAGGCATGCCAGCCATTTCACCACCATGTATAAAGGTATATATATATATATATATTCGGATCTATAGGCGACACTTTACACGTTAATATATATATATACACACACACAGACACACAGTAATTTATGAGATGACAGTAATGTAATAATTCATAATAAATTTTTATCTGTGAATTATTATTTTTTTCCATCTTAATAAATAAAAATAAGGCTAAAGGGTATTAAATATATTTAAAAATAAATAAAAATAACACGGAAAAATTGATAATTTAAAAAATGAACGGCAATTTATAAAAATTGGGGTTGTATGGATCTGAAGTACGTTTACGTCTACATAAGACCGCAGGCTCGCAGGCCTCACGTATTAATGGAAACGACGCCGTACAAGTCCGCAAAGCTGCTCTGACGATAATGGAAAAATACCCTTCACTGCAAGCAAAGAGAATAATATTATATTTAATTTAATTTATTCAAAATAAAATTGTCCAGTCAATTGAAATGCTCCTTAAATTTATTATTTAATTGAAAATTAAAAATTCCCACTAAATTGATTTGAACGTGTCGGCAACCCCTTGAATTATTATCTTAATAAGCTGTAATTACTTTATTTTCTCTTTAATCCTCTCCTCTCGTTTATCAACTAATTAATTTTAATTTTTATTAAATAAAGCTAATTAATTAATTAATTTTTTTTTACACTTGGTTGCTCCTAAATTTGAAATAAATACTTTTCGTGTTAAATAAATTTTAATTTTATATTTATGCAATTTAATTGAATACCCAATACATTTATTTTTATATAAAATATTATAAATTTAAATTATATTATATTTATATTTATAAAATTATAAAAAATATATTAAAAATGAAAATCACGTGACTGATTGAAGAGAAAAAATATGATATATCGACCGAAATTAATGATGAAAATAAACTTTATCTAAAAATACAATAAGATACTTATTCCACTATAAAAAATTATTTTTAAGAATCTGATCACGCTCTAATATGACTAAAAATATAATTAATTATTTAAATCGTTATCATAGTTATACTATACTATCGTATATATAATTATATATAATAAAAATAAAAAATAAATTAAAATTGCGACTGACACCTTTCTTGTCAAAATAAAACTATAATATATATATATGAGTTAATGAGGTTCGCCCATCACGTCGACTGAAATTGGAAGGACAGAAGGAAGAAGGCACCAGTTTAAAGAGTAATCCTTCTGGTCTCTGTTTTGTGTTTTCAATCACTTCATGTGAAAAAGTAAAAGGTAAAAAAGAAATGGAATTTACTGTTCAGATTAAAAAAAGAAAAGCGAAAGGTTAAAAAAAAAAAAAATAGACAACTGAATACTAACCTTCATCATGAGGATGCCAATAGGCAATAGAATAGGGGCATATGTACTGGACTAATCCCCAAAACGGTGCGTATTGGAGACTAGTCAATGGGGTTTTGACTCTCTTTCGATTCCTTTAATTTCATCATTGCCAGCAAATCCGATTTATCCAATGATTAATATGATTTAAACTATATAATTAGCGATTATATACTATGGATTAAATTATATAGAATATAGTATTGAATTTTTGTGTGTGTCTCTGACGTGTCAAGCCGGGGTTAATCTAATAATGGTGATCGAGTGCTTTATGTACATATTTTTTAAATTCAATGAATATATCATATGATTATTTTTTTATATTAAGAAAAACGTGAATCACAATCGAATGATTATTTTCATGGTTCGTTGTTGGAATAAAGTTTTTTTTTTTTTAATAATTAAATCTTTTGGGAACTAATTAAATTAGTATAAATTTATATATATTTTAATTAAAAAATAATTGAAATAATAAAATTTGACTCGTGAATTTATTTAAAATTGGAATAAAATATTATGATTTAATTTGAAAATTTTTTAAAATATATTATTTTATGAAACATTTTGAGGAGATTTAAAATATATCGTTTTAATTATAAATAAAAATCAGTAATTTTAATTTTTTGGGAAAAGAAAATGGTGGGGGCGCATGCTAGCAGAGTGGGGTGCAGTAAGGTGAAGTGCGGTGAGGTGCGGTGCGTACGATTACACACCAGTCTCTCTCAAATTCTGCACACACTCGCAAGCCCCACACTTACCTGACACTCCGTATCAACCACACCTGATTCTCTCCAGACCAACTTTCTCTCTCTTCAAACCTCTTTTGTTTTTCTCTCTCTAAAAAGTAAAAACACCGAAATGCATTTTATATGGGACTGTCACACACCAAGGACGGAGAGGCTTACGCCTTTACTTACATATTTATGTATATATGTATCTCTCTTCCATTGCCTTTCTATTTTTCTTTGAATAATTTGATATCCTTTGCAGAAGTACTACTACTGCTAGCTAAAGTTGGTGCGTGGAGACTGGGAAAAAAGAAAGAGACTCTGTGATAAACCCAAGGAAGAAAAAACAGAAAGGAGAGAGGAAGGATTAGAATTTGGCCCCGAAAACAATTGGTCTTTTTTGTGGAAAAGAAAAAGTATGTTCGTCTTCGACCTCTGAGATTCAATAGCTAGCTAGCCATGGCTACCACCAAGCTCTCTCTGCTCTACTTGTTCTTCCTCTGTTCTGTCACTTGTTCGCTCTCGTACGAGGCTCGTAACCCCGAAGGTAAAACAACAACAGATATCATTCTCTCTGTCTCTTTTTTTTTTGTTTTCTTTTTTTCTCTCTCGCTGTCATCAACAATGGCGTTTTATAGGGTATATGAGTGTTTGACTTCTTTTTTTTTTTGTAGTTGAGGCGTTGACGAGTATAAAAAATGCGTTGAATGATCCACGCGGGGTTTTGAACAACTGGGACGAGGACTCTGTGGATCCTTGCAGCTGGGCTATGATTACTTGTTCATCTGAAAATCTCGTTGTAGGCTTGTGAGTTTTATTTTTTTTAGTTTTGCCATTAATATATTTTGTTTCTGCTGAAACTGATCTGCTCATTTATGGGGTTTCTTTGACAGGGGAGCTCCTAGTCAGTCTCTCTCGGGAACTTTGGCAGCGGCAATTGGAAATCTTACAAACCTTCGCCAAGTGTAAGACGAATATGTATACTCTGTTTTGGCTGGTTTATTCAATTTCTTAGCAATCTCAAATTAATGAGTTCATGAATTTTTTCTGCAAACCAAACAGTGAGATAGAAATCACACGTTTAACGTCAAAAGTAGTTTCTAAGTTAGAGATACGAGAAACCTAGACTTGCATTTTATTTTCTCTTTGTTTTTTTGCTTCACTAATTTTATGTTTTTTTTTTCAAATTCTTCGCCGTGAATTTGAAGGTTGTTGCAGAACAATAACATCTCTGGCGAAATTCCTCCTGAGCTCGGTTCTCTTTCTAGATTGCAGACTTTGGATCTCTCTAACAATCGATTCTCTCGTGCAATTCCCTCGGCCCTTGGTCAGCTTAATAGTCTTCAATACCTGTAAGCATTTTGAAATGTTAGTTTGTTTCCTGTTTGGTTGCCAAGAAAGTAAAGAGAAGAGAAAACTGAAAATAATAGCTGTTGTTGATTAGGTTGAGCAGTTGTAGAGAAAGATACTCTTGTTTGATCCTAATATAATATTAATGGAAACCCACCTGTATTTTGAATTTTATCTTTATATGACAATGTTTATGATACCTTTGTTTTACAAATTTGGGTTTATGATTTATATCTCATGTACTGTTTATTTTTGTCTGGTTTTGAGAGTAGGAGGCTAAACAACAATAGCCTTTCTGGGCCCTTCCCTGTGTCTTTAGCCAAACTCCCACAGCTTGCTTTCTTGTGAGTATTGAGTTCTCTCTCTCTCTCTCTCTCTCTCTCTCTTTCTTTTTCTCCATTGTTTGTTTGTTTCTCTTATAATTTTTTCAGTGTCTTGGAATTCTAATAATCTGCAGTATCTTAATTGTTTTTTCTTCAAAGTATGAGCAATGGGGTTATTCTTTTTCATGAATCTTTGTGATGATTCAGGGATCTGTCTTATAACAATCTCAGTGGACCTGTGCCTAAGTTCCCAGCTAGAACATTCAAGTAAAGCTTCTTCACTAAACCCAAACTCTCACTTTCTCACTTTCTAATATATATCAGTTTGTTGTAATAGTTGTGCATCTTATTTTTAGCCATATATTTTCGAAATGCAGTTTTCTGGGGAACCCGTTGGTTTGTGGAAGTGGTGACTCAGCTGCAGCCTGCATTGGATCAGCTAATGCAATTCCGGCTTCCTTCTCTTCAAGCTCTTCAGCCGGTAACCTTTAGAACCCACTTATGTTGTTCTAAACATCCTTTTCTGTTTAATAATGCTTTATCCCTTTTTTGCCAAACAAGAAGAACGCAAGTCCAAGAAACTGGCAATTACACTTGGGATCAGCTTCAGTAGTGTATTTGTCATACTCCTAGCAATTGGAATCTTTTGGCGTAGAGAGAAACGGAAAAGGCTAACTATCTTAAACATTAGCGGTCAGTAACATTACAACTCAGTTTCCTGTTTTGATGAAAAAACAGAACTAACTTGTCGAAACCTGGATTGGTAATTTGAATTTTTTGGCAGATAAACAAGAAGAAGGACTATTAAGCCTTGGTAACCTTAGGAGCTTCACTTTCAGGGAGCTGCAACTTGCCACAGACAATTTCAGCTCCAAAAACATACTTGGTGCTGGAGGTTTTGGCAATGTGTACAAGGGGAAGCTTGGAGATGGGACTACGGTGGCAGTGAAGCGGTTGAAGGATGTGACTGGAACCTTTGGGGAATCACAATTTCGGACTGAATTGGAGATGATCAGCTTGGCAGTTCACAGGAACTTGCTCAGGTTAATTGGGTATTGTGCTACCTCTATTGAGCGACTGCTTGTCTATCCTTACATGTCGAATGGCAGTGTAGCCTCTAGGCTTAAAGGTTAGTTGCTAGCTTATCTGTTGTTGCAACTATAACTTGCTCTACATGCTTGGAAATCCGAAAGTAGACTGAATACGTTTCATTACTTTAACCCACTCGTCCTTTGTAGAAATCGATTGTTCAGACCTTTTTGATTCCTTCAGTATATCACCAGCTAGTGTTGGTAATCCTGTGTCCTAAATCAGGCAAAGTTAATTGGAAGAATGGAAAAGGATTAAATCTTTGTGAAATGATTTTAGCATTAGAACTTATTCTCAAAGCATAAATCAGCACAGAACTTATTGTATCCCTTAATTATCTATGGTAGCAAAACCAGCATTAGACTGGAACACAAGGAAGAGGATAGCAATTGGAGCTGCAAGAGGTCTGTTGTATCTACACGAGCAGTGTGATCCAAAAATAATCCATCGTGATGTGAAGGCTGCTAATGTGCTCTTGGACGAGTACTTTGAGGCTGTTGTCGGTGATTTTGGCCTTGCTAAGCTTCTTGACCATTCTGATTCCCATGTCACAACTGCTGTCCGTGGAACTGTTGGACACATTGCACCAGAGTATCTTTCAACTGGCCAGTCATCAGAGAAAACTGATGTGTTTGGATTTGGCATTCTCTTGATTGAGCTCATAACTGGTATGAGAGCACTTGAGTTTGGCAAAACAGTCAATCAGAAGGGAGCCATGCTTGAATGGGTATGTTTATCTCTACGTCTAAGTTGCAATCACATGTATATATATATAAAAATACTCAAAAAATAATATATATATATATATAAATATATATATATTATTTTTTGAGTATTTTTCTTCTAGTTGCATTTTTTAATGACGGCTTAGGATTAACTATATTTTTTAAAACATTTTGTTAAATAATAGAGCATGACTAATAATCTTGGAAGCTTCTAGATATTGCGTTGCCTTACAAAACTATAAAAGAATAGAAATAGAAAAGACACCCCTTACATGCACAAAATTTGGAAATCTATTCAACAAAAATGGGAAGCAGCTAGGATTTGAACCCTAACAGAGTAAAGTTTTGACAATGGTGGTGACAGGTGAAGAAAATGCAGCACGAAAAGAAAGTAGAGGAGTTGGTAGACAGAGAACTAGAGAGCAACTATGATCGAATTGAGGTGGGGGAGATGCTACAAGTGGCATTACTTTGCACACAGTGTCTTCCAGCCCACCGTCCCAAAATGTCCGAAGTGGTCCGGATGCTGGAAGGTGATGGCCTTGCCGAGAAATGGGCTGCATCCCATAACCATACCAATCCCACCATGAACCTCTTCCACACTAACAAAAGTTCGTCGCGCTCAGTTACTTCATCAAAGCACGAAGATAACAATAGTCATGATAGTTCGAACATGTTTGGCATGACAATTGACGATGATGACGATGACAGGTCTCTCGATTCCTATGCCATGGAACTCTCCGGACCCAGATAAATAACCAACCCCGAAACTCTCCGCACATATTTTCTCCGCCAGACAAACGAGAAAAACTACGAAAATGGTAAAAGAAAAGGTGAAACAAGATAGAGGAAAGAATTCTTTTTCTGTTATTCTTTACATAGTCCCCAAAAATAGGTTTAGTTTCTATATTATGTTTTATAAGAATCTTGGATCAAAAAAGCTTCTAGCTTTCAAGGCTTGTATCGTATATATTCATTTTATTTTCGAAGTACGACCTCTGTTTCTGCAAATTGTACCATACAGATTTTCTGCATAGGGTGGGAAAAAAAAAAAAAAGATGAGAGTATCAGATGCTCTGGACAAGTAGCAGAATGAGGTCGATGGTTTTGACCAAACAAGGGCATGATGTCTGCACTGTTTATAGCTCATTTGCTCTGGTAATTGTCAAAGTGCAAAGGCTGTTATCAGTCATTTTCTTTCTATGCTTTTGCAGGTTCACGCGTCGTCTTCTTCTTCTCATCTTCCCCCTCTGTATTTACATTTCATAACTATTTTTCCTTATTTTTTTATTTAATTAAATATTTTGTTATTATTTTGACTGTTATCATAATTATTGATTTTTAATTATCTGGGTATGATTAATAATTTAAGTAATTGATTAAATATCAATAATTATCTCAACATTATCTAATAATATTTTATTAATATTTCCATACCCAAATCCCATTAAAAGCTTAAAGATATCTATTTATCAAATCTTCATAACATTATGGTGTTGACAAAATAAATGCTACATTCTCAATTAAATTAAATTTAATATAAATTTTTATAATTTATTGATTTAAAAAACTAAATTAGTTTTTAAGATATTAATATTTTATTTTAATTATGAAAATAAAATTATACATATATTTTATTTTAATGAATATATATGTAGAATATTATGCCATAGTAAAAATTAGTAGTTAATTTTTTTTTAACCATAAGTAAAATAACAAATGTAAGGTATTTAATAAGTAAAAATTTAGGATCTTCCGTGCACGTTAGTTTTTGTTTTTGTTTTTATTTTTATTTTTATTTTTCCTTCTTCTCTCAAAATAATCGAGTCTTAACAGTTAACAGCGCAATAAACGGGATGACGTGGCAATTTTAGAGATCGACGGTCCAGATTGAACTATAAAAAATCCAGTAAGCAAAACCAGACGTTACGTGATTCGATCAACTCCAGCAGAACATAAATCTGCTTGTGAACTTTGACGGCTTTGACTTCTGCAAATCCAAAACCAGCCCCCGCCTCCATCCCCGCTTTTCTCTTCTTACTGGAGAAGCATAACGACAATTTACGCAATGGCGAATCAGTCCTCTTCGTACCCTATTATCTGTGCTTCTTTCAATCAGGACAACAGGTGAAGCTCTGATCTATACATGCTTCGTTTGATTCAGCAAAATTCAAATTGTATCCGAATATCCTAGAATTGAGACCTGTTACTCTTTTATTCTCTCTCTCTCTCTCTCTCCTGTATTTTTTTTTTGAGGAAATTTATTTCCATGATTTTCTTATTTGCGCGATTGGTTTCGCTTAAGCTTTGCGATGAGATGCTTGTATTCGTCGAAAAATTTGTTGGTGCAGTTTTCGGCGGAAACCAACGGAAAAGTTTTTAATTCTTCTTTCTAATTTCCAGTGCGTTTGCGATAAGCACGAAGGACGGTTTCAAAGTATTTGATTCGAGCACCGGAAGACTCTGTTATGAACGAGGCAAGTTGCTTAATGTAACTTTTACACAAGTGAATGGAGAATTTTGAAGAACAAACCCACAATTTTTCTATCCTTGTTTAAATTATGTAACTCTCATATATGATTATCCATGGCATGTAATTTGTGAAGGTATCCTTTCATAAGTGCAAGCCATCGCAGTTCAGGCTTTGTCCATAATGAAACTTAGGGCACTTGTGGATTAATTTTACCTAATTGATCTATTTTCTTTTGCTAGTTGTTGGAGCTTTTGTTATTGTTGAAATGCTGTATGGCTCTAGTCTTCTAGCCATCGTTGGAGCTGGTGAACAGGTGCTTCAGCACTTATTGGTTTTGTATTCTAATAAACTTCAAGCATTCTAGTGTCTCCTGTCAAATTCTCATCGTCACGTTATTCAACTGAAACAGCCATTTTTGTCACCACGTCGTCTTTGTTTATTCAATACCACAACTGGGACTGCTCTTAGGGAGTTGAATTTTTTGACTTCAATACTTGCTGTTCGCTTGAATAGAAAAAGGTAATAGTTTTTTATTCTTTTTCTTTTTTAGATAAATGTATACTTTTATATTTTTTGGATCCAAGGGGTAGCCTTCCATGTTTGGTTCTCATTTAAGAACTAATTTGAAGTTTAAAAAAAAAAACTATTTTTCCTGATTGGCTTGGAATGGTATGACACCTAGATTTAATTAGATGGTGAGACATGCTGGAAACTAGTTTTCTTTCATTGTAACTATAAATTTTCTATTGATATTTCACTTTCAGATTTGAATTAGAGGACTTGTAGCCCCCAAAAAAATCTTAGTTCAAATAGTTTGACAGGATAAGTTTAGGTTGTCTGATCCAGAACTTGGCAACCTAAAGGAGGAATCGTTATGCTGAATTAGGTAAAAAATCACATTCTTGCCATTGGTTAGGTAGTCTTTAATGATTGTTGGGGCACATGAAGCCAAAGTGGGCAAGCAAATTCACTGATTAAACTCCAGTGCTGAGAAAATTGGAAAGGGGAGGGTGGTGGTGAATCTTGAGCAGGCATCTCTTTTACGTGTGCTATGATATATGACTTTCTGAATTGGGTGAAAGCTTGGAAGAGATGGTGAACTTGTCGCTTTATATGCTTGGAAAACAGCGGATGGCCTGGCTGAATGTTTTCGATGAGGGTTCTTGGCTTTGAAAGGAAAAGTCCGTGACCTTCTTTATATGGACACTTATGCTTTATCATCATCTATCTGTGTAATATAGCTTCACATGGGTTGTTTGTTCAAGTAAACCTCTGCTCTATCAACTTAGTGGTCTATTCAATCACCTTCAGCTGATCCCTATTTTAGAATGAATCAACTTGTCTGGACTAACATAATCAATTAGATTAGGTTATTTTTCTATTTGGAGAATTTAATTTTTTTGCTTTCATTCCCCTTAATTGGAATTAATTTTCTTCTTCTATTATTGCAGACTTGTTGTTTTGTTGCAAGAAAAAACGTATATTTATGACTCAAATAGTCTTTCCATATTGGACACCATTGATACAGTTCCAAATTTAAAAGGTATGTGAGGGTATTAATATTTGTTCTTACCAGCATTTGCATTTGGTTAGGGATTATGATCTTTGATCCATGAAGTTTTGGCATTTGTTTAAGGATAATGATCTTTGATCCACTAGAATGGCGTCAAATCTTTCATATAACTAAGCGAACATCTTGTTAATTTAGATCTCAATGCTTCTACTTCTCATTCTGACGGTTAAGGTAAATCCTGGTTATATCAGATTTGATATCATTGCTTAAGGACACATGTTTTATGTTGTTTAGAAATTTAATTGAACAATTCACTAGATAAATTATGTCTTAGGTTATATTTACTTGCTATAGTAAAGGAGGTTTGAAGTAACTGTGCTATAGTTATTTAATGAAGCCTACTTTGTTGTCTTTACTCTCTAAGGAATACCTTACTTCAGGGTTTTCCGACTAACGTATCAAGAACTTAATGCCATTTTTCTTATTATCAACAAGTGATCATGTGATTTTCGTTTCAGAAAAAGTCATGTGATTTATGTTATTGACAATGAAATCTATATATATGGTATGCTAATGTAAGACTCGTTCTGTTTTTGTATATAGACACACACACGGACATTTTTTCCTTGTATGAATTTAAGTGAAAATTCTTGGGTAGATGTAGTTACTTCTGAAGTAGACTTGGAAAAATACTTTTACTTAATTAAACCGGGTTAATGATAATTGAGCATTGAGATCAGAAACATGATTAAGAATTTCATAAGTTTCAATTTTCTGCTTTCAAGTTGTGTGGAAGAGGGCTTGTGTGGAAGAGGGCTGCCCCATAGTGCATTGCTTAAAGAGTAGAAACTTCTAACTTTGGCCCAATTAATAAAAAGCTTTAGCTTCGGCAGTTTAGATATCTATATATATATATATATCATATAGCTTATTTGCATGAGCATAAGAGCGAGAGAGAGGCCATATGGCTTGTGTTGGCGAAGGTAGGCTGCACCATAATTCATTGCTTAAAGAGTACAAACTTCTAAGTTTTTGTTGTTATATAAATAGCTAATGCATATGAGCATGTGATCATACTTTTTACTAGGGAAGAGTTGTGGGTTTGGGCGGGGTTGAGTAGAAAAGATAAAAAGTTAAATATGCTTATCCCCTTGACTGTTTTTTGGATCATTTGGAAGGAGAGGAACAAGAGGGTGTTTGAAGAAAAGAAAATGATATTTTAAAGATTGGGGATAGATGGTTTCATTTATTTGGATCACTAATTTTAGGGCATGACTTGTATAGGGTAGATGATTTTGGGTACATAATTGACTGTCTAACAAATATGTAATACTTTTGTATATGAGTGACACCTCTTTGGTACACTGTTAATATATTCATACTTTTTTATTTCAAATAAAAAAATGAGAATGTGATCGTACATGAATATGTTTGAAACTGTAGTTTTGTCTATGATTCCTTTTTTATTTAATTTTAAAAACCCACTTATTTTTTTAAAAAAAGATTTAAAACCCCACTATATAACCTAATTATTGACAATTGTTTCAATTTGATATTGACACATATAAAGTAGAGGACATAATGGCCTTGGCTCTCAAAGTGCAGCTTTTTAGGACAAAATGTCACCATTTATTATTTACTATCAACATTTGCTATTG